TTCAATCTGAAAAGAAAGAACTTGTCACCGAAGAAACTAATACCCTTCTGAAGGTGAGTCGCTTTTCGCTTGTAATGTATTATAGCACAATTCGGTGACAGTGGAAATGTGTTCATCGAAAGCAATGCAAAATTGCACAACTGAAATTGATTGAGATTGTGTTTTAGGGTGCTCAAGAAAACAACAGAACTACATGTGTGAAACCTATTTTAGAAAATTCGATTTTTCTTAATCGTCATCAGAGAATCAATTAATATTTGCATTGAGCCATGCATAGTCCTTTTTTACACATAATCTGACGGGAAGGTAGGCTACGAAACCGATTCTATTCTACATATGTTCTAAATAGTAATCGATAAATGTCAATTATCGATCTAGGTATATGTATGTCTTGATGATATTAGAGCAGATAATTTCTTCAGCTGATGAGACATCTCGAACTACCATAGTAGCGCATGACCCTATCGGTTTTATTATTATTATTATTATTATTTATTGAGTTAACCAAAACACGACTAATTTGATATTCAGTATAACCAAATGTGCACTTTCCAGATTGTTTTCATGGAAATAGGTCTTTCAATCGAATCATACGTCAGAACAAACATTAATTGAATCGATGCACCGCTCAAGCAACTTCAGTAGTCGACAATGAAATGCTACTGATAGAAAACACCCTCAACCATTATAAAACGAAATCCAATCACGCAAATGCATTTAGAGGAAAAATATCATATGAAGAGGTCTATTGACAGTCGTTTTATTATGCTCTCTATCATTGTATTCATACACCAAGGCTTTCTATTAATTGAGATGTGGAAGCAGTTCTTTTTATTTTTATTTTCTATTATATAAAAAACTTATTTATTCATAATTAACTCATTGAACCATTCAAACGAAGAAATATTCTCATGAAATAGACAATAAAATTCACTAGAACAGTCGTTTTCCTAATTAATTTTATTCTATATTGATATCGATCAGCACGAACAATTCAAATTCCCAATACTTCAGATCTCTCGTATTTCTTAACAAATAATTTTAATTATAGAAAAAGAAACACTCGTTTATACAAATCGAGTGAAGTGGAATTAAATCTATTAAAGAAGTGTATATATATATATCTAAAGATAAAATGCATATCGACACAAATGCGCATATCATATACAACAAATGTTTAACATTCATCACCCTCGGCCAAATGACTATTCATTCGCTTAAATCGTACTGCATATACCGGATACTTGTCATCCATCGAGGACGAGCGTTTCTGCGTAACTGCCGCTGCTGTTAATGGTGCTGTTGAGACTGTTGTAGTCGGCGGTGGTAATTGTGCGAGGCTAATCGTTTGAAATTTTTGTCTTCGATAAACCGAACCTTGTTTACAGAAATATAGTGCAACAATATCACATATAAATGTCGCCAAACCAAGGACACCAATCATTGAGCCTATGTTGAGTGTTAAAACCAGAAAGTCAAATCGACCAGCTTCACCGTTAACAGTAACAATCAAACGTAAACCAAATGCTTTAGTTAGTGTGCGATGAGAATTTGTTCGCCATTTCCAGTGCGATGCATAACGAAAGTTAAAACCGAACGAAAACTTTTCTTCTTTATATCGAGAATCTAAACGGCCAAACGAATACTTGGGTTTGCATTCATCTTCACCTAAATCTAAATTACAAATCCAGTCGATTTTAATCCGAACAACGGCGCCGAACTGAAGCATTTTAGCGCGTTCTTCCGCATCTGGTTCGACAAAATTTAGTAAATCTTCTACTCGAAATATTGGACAGTATTTATCGTTAATCGGATGATAGTGACATGATTTATCACCTTTTGAATCATGAAATATGTTCGTTCTGGAAACATTAAAACGGGTAAATTCAACGAAATTTTTCACAAATACAGTAAAATTTAACGAATCCATCATTGGATTTGGCATATCGAGATCATTCTCCACGGGACACCAGCCTTCGATTTCACAGCGACCTTCTGAATTACATTTTCCCGTCCAACGCCCATTACTCTTTGAAGGATATGGACCAAATTTAGCACATTGACTATCGTTGGTACACTTAGCATCTTTAATATCGAATCCTTCACCGCAACGTCTCGGTTGTTGATCCGTACGAATAAAATTAGTCATTATAAAAATAGCATTGTTTTCTTGAGGTGGTATAACGTAATCCGCATTGTCTAATGTAATTGTTCGATTTCTTGACAGGCTCGCTACGCCTTTAACTTTCAGCGTGACAGACGATATCAGTGAAGGATCGCGTTCTTGATAACCACGTTTATACCACATAAGATAACCGAATGCATAGAATAGAATAAGTAATTGGACAAATCGACATGTTAACGCAATCGAGTACGAGTGTATAGTAACAATCTTCGGTGCTAAAGGGGATTAGAAATGAGTTGGATTGAATGAGAACAAGCAACTTACTTTCGTATTCAGTGACTGTTCCAACAAGAACCGATTTGATATGACTAGGCGTAAAAGCATACGTAAATGGTGCACAATGGCGTTTTACTTTTTCACAGGTTGTTTCAGGCATAATTATGTTGATGTAGAATTTTTTGAAGTAATGAATAAGAGTGAGTTTTGTTCTCAAGAATCTGTTTGCAGTTAACGGTTTCTTTCATCAATACGTCTTTTTTCAGTGTGTTCATAAGCACAAATATTTGTCGATGAATGATAATGAGAGAAAGACTTTTATCGACTTGACTTTTTTTCTCCTTTATGTCCCATGTGAATGACAAAAAAGAGAAAGAAACATTAGGCAGTTTATGAGATCGAAGGATTTGTGTTTTTTTTTGTTGTTTATTTCTCGCTTGTCTAATGGCAATTAAACGGTGAAAGGAAGGAAAATATAGTGCTTGTTGACTAACTGCACTTTACCCTCTCAGTCTATTCTTCCTGTATTGTATAAAATAATGTTCACAAACTTGAGCTTAACTTAGCGTGATAAATTCAATTAAACGTATTTATTGATTATGAATCTGTAAGCCGAGAAGTAAATTGTCAGGAAGTATATTGTGTTAATAGAAACATCTGTTTATTAAGTATATAAGCATGAATTGGCGAGGTGTATTTGTCTAGAAAAGAAGAGAGAAATATGAATGACAAGTTGCAGTAGCAATGTTTATCTTTGAAAGAAAAAGTACTTAATAGTCGGTTATGCTTATAAATCGCAAGATACTCAATCAGATAATCACACATGTGAATGGGTAGGAAGTGATTGTAGAAAAGTTCGATAGATATTTCTAGCGAAAAACACCCTGCGAAATTGATTAATTTGATTGATCATGCAGAGATTCTATTTATTCAGGTTATCAATAATCATAATGAATTACAATTTTAGCACATCTGCTGTGCATCGACTAAGTAGAAGAGAAAAACGAGAACTGTATGTCTTATAACACATTTTCTTCTCCTCTTCTTATTGTCAAACAAGTTTCTTCTTTAACCAATTGACAACACTCAATGAAAGTTTAATGTGAACAGTATTCTTTTTCTTGTTCTCCAAATGCTAATCGATCGAAATCTATTACTTACATACCCTGTTTTTCTTTTCATTCAAATTAGAAATAACGCAGAATCAATGGCGAAAGAATTACATATCAGGCACGATAGGAAAGACGAGCTGCTAAAGAAAAGAATCCTCGAGAAATACATCTTGCACAACGATGAGATATCTAACAAAAAATATTTACATAGATGTAAATATTGCCTGACTTACGATCTTAGTTCTCTGAATAAATATAATTGATGCGAGAGAGGAAAATATATATAGAGAGAGAAAGAGAATTCATTTGTATATGCAACACGGTTCCTGGGAGACTATTATTTAAATAGACGAAGGCAGCTTGACATGGCAGAGGTAAAAATTAACAATGACATATCATACCGCTGTCGACGTATTACGCACTAGTTCCGCTTTGTAGACTCTATGGTTAATTGAAGTTCTCGCTGGGATATATTGCCAAATAGTAAAAGATATTTGAAAGGAAAAGAAGGAAACTATGCTTTTGTACTGATTCGATTCAAAATAGAATATAAGGATGCACAAGGTTAATGATGACTTTGGTTAATCTATATCCAAATACATTGGATACAAACAATATATGAAGTCTTTTCAAAAGAATCAAATCTACTCATTTCGTTTTTTTTTGATAACCAATTTCACGTGGTTCATTGGAAATGAATAGCGGAGTATTAACACAAATCCTAAATGCGTTTTGATTATTTGTCAAAAAATCTCGAGCGTAACATCTCGTATATCAGTTTGACTCGTTGTTAGTTAGAATAGAATCAATACGAGTAATCGTATTAGCTTTATTACATTTTAGTTAATCAATTAAATATGCCACGAATACAATATCTGTTTTCGTTCTTTATATGCATGTTTGTCTATTAGCTTGCTTATTTTCTATCGACATGTGAAGAACACAGATAAATAAGTTTATGCATTCTTTATATTAAATCTCCCTGAAGATCTCTGACCAAGTTACGATCAATCACTGAAGTGTTGTGTGTGTGATTGAGAAGTTCATATAACAAAATTAATTCTCATAGGTCATGCTAATTTTATAACATTTGACGAGTCCCCTACACTTTGCCGACAATCATTTTGCCGACAATCACTTTGCCGACAGATCTTTTAATCAAAAATTTCAAAAGATACAATTCTTTTCGTAACCAAATTCTGAGGGAACCGATGCAACAGCGGCTTTTAAGCAAATTCTGCCATAGCTACGATATCCTCATCTGAATCTTTCCCTACATCCTCACCTATATTCTGATTCTCAAAATAAAGGTGACCACACAAAATCAGACAAAATGTATTTGTCGGCAAAATGAATGCGACTTCATGCGACCTCTACAATAAAACTCGAATGATCGCGGTGTCCATGCCTTTTTCAATGTCCATGGTTGTGCAGTATTTAAAAAGAATAGAGAACACAATCTTGTCGCCTTGTCTATTTTGAATGCAATGCTTTTTTCGAAAGTTAACCATGTTCTAATAAATTCTATTCGTAAGATGAACGATTTCTTCATAATTACATCTATACAATTTCATTTCTTTAGTCTATTCGCGTATGCAATTAATAATCGCACGATTCGGTTATCGAAATGCAACCTCTGAATGTAAATACATTGGTTTTCATCGAGAGTAAAGACATGACTTTGATATATTTATTTGAAGTTTAGTGCGTCAGTATTTTGAAAAGGAAATCAATGAACATAAGAAAAAAGGAACTCTGCCAACGACATTTATATTACATGATTCAAAATACTATGAAACACTTTCGCGTATTCGTAGTAAATCAGATCGTCTTTCGTATCTTCGTTCGTTAATGGCAATCATTAATACGCCACCAACAGTCGCTGTTCCACAAGATTCCGGTGGTGTTCATACTGGATTCTTAACTCCATATAAAAACCTTGCTCAATCTGATCTAGTCAACATGTCCGTGTGGAACTATTTAAAAGCACAAAGATTACATGATAATCTTTTTCTCGACTGTTCAAATATATCTAGTCTTCCTTTGGCACGATTGATAATCGATATGAGAGCAATTTTCAATGCACTGATTGATCCTTGGTGGCCGATATTACTCGGCGTGTCCGACGAGAGACATAGTGAAATCATCGACATATTAAAAAACAAACATCGACTGCACGGTCCACATCTATCAACATGGGAAACAAGTGATCAAGCGATCAATGAGAAAGATTTTGTACTGATTTGTGCAAATCATGGTGAAACTATCTATGGACTCGACTCTAATGAAAATTACGTGGTACAGATTGATGGTGATCATCGACAGTGCTGTTTAGGGAATGTTAAAGGTGAAAAAGTCAATTTATACAAAAGTGTTGTAAAACTTGAATCAAGAACAAAGTAAAATATTTGTTTCAGAGTTGTCTAGATGTATGCCTTCGGTTTTTAGGAGCTTCAATAATTCCAAACGGATTCTAACACCTGATTTGTTTCAGATATTGGCTTCATTGAAAATGAAAGGTTTATTTTATAGGAAAGTTCTGAGAAAAAATGATGATGAAAGTCATAATATAAAACCAAAAGCTCGTAGTGGTCTCATATCACATTAAATACGTCTGTTTTCAGATTAAACATGAGCACATTAGAAGATCTTCGATCAGTTGTTAAACAAACATTGGAACAGAACGGGTCGTTGGCCGCGACACGTGCAAAGCTTCGTGCAGATATTTTTTCGACATTACAAGATCCAACGGAAGTCAAACCACGAATTCCACATGAAAATCTTCTTATCAACGAGCTTATTCTCGAATATTTAAAATACAATAATTTAGATTGTTCCGCGTAAGTTTTTTCTCACTGGAAAATTCATTTTGATTTTGATTTCGTATTCTCGTAGATCGGTACTCGCTGTTGGTATGTTTCGAAAGAAGGATCTATTCATATGTTTCTAAAAGCTCACATTGTAGAATCAGGACAACCGACACCCTCACTTGGTCGAGCTTTCGTTGCAGAACAATTAAATGTTCATGACGATGAAAAAACACGACAATTGTAAGAGAATACAAATTCACGAATGACAATCATACTGTCATTGTATTTTAGACCATTACTTTACTCGCTGTTATCCCATTTTTCTTCCAATTCCAAAACAACAAATCGTGCACTTTCAAATCGTTTGAATTAGACTGAATTTTTTGTTTATTCACATAGATCTTTTTAGAATTTCGTAAAACATTCTGTATATTCCGTGTTGTAATGCTTATATCGTATAGAAAATCTTAGTTCTACTGCCATCTATATTTACATGAAATCTGATTGGCTACAGCGATTGCCTTTCGAAGAAGAAATAAACAAACAAAAAAAAATGCATTCTTGTTTTCATCGTCATCATATTCACTATTGAATTACTCAATAGAACTCGAACGAAAGAAAGAAATTATTTCAGATGTCAGACAGCGAAGATTTTGAACAACTTAAAGTAATTGAATTGCAAAACGAACTGAAAAAGCGTGGTCTTGATACCAAAGGACGTAAAGTGGATTTGATCGATCGATTACGTCAAGCGATGAATAACGAAATGGAATCTGATCCAACAAAGCTTCTCCCTTCACCTAATAACGATGAATCAGCTGCAGCTATTATAAGTGATGATGCATCATCTTCGTCAATTGTTCGTTGATCTGATTTTTTCGCGTTGCTATTTAATATGTTTTTGTTTATGAAATATTTAGGCTCTAAAAGACCAGGACACAACGTCGGGTGAACCCAATTTTCAAACTATGGAAGATTTTCCTTATGAAGAACAAAAATCTCCGTCAAGTAATAAACGTCATTTGAATGACGATGATACAGAAAAGGGAAAAGACAATGAAGATAATTTAACAGAAAATTTCAATGACGATATAGAAAAAGACGATGAAAATCCTAATGATAATGATGATCTAACAAAACAAACACGTAAAAAAAGGAGTCGTTGGGGTTCAGAGCAAGATGAAGATTCACCAGAACAACAATCAACTCCCAAACAAACATCAGATAATGATGATAATAACGATGATGATGATAATAATCATAGTAGTAGACATCCAGACCGAGATTATCATCGATCATCGAGACAACATGATGACGATCGACATTATAGTAGTCGATATTCCGAAAAGTATGTACAAGATCGAATTCTTTTGAATTCATTCTTCTTCTTATTTATGTGTCTCTCTCTCTGTGTACGTGTGTGTGTGTGTGAGTGTGTGGATGCGTGTGCGTATGAAATGATAGATTCGTAAAGGAGAAAAAACCACTTCATCTGTCTCAATTACAAATGGCATATTCGATGATATTTTACAAATTATTCTTTGTTATTTATTCATTCATTTCTTCCAGTTTCGAAAAAATTCATCGTCGACTGACCATATTATATCTCAACGTATTTACTCAAATGCCTTGTTATCAAGTCCTGTATTAAAATGGTAAGCGTTGCGATTATTATATGACAGATGGTTTAAAGATCTAGAAGAATACGTGAAAGAAACATAACTATGTATATGTATATATTTAGTCAATATACAATGGATTGTTATCTTTTTTTTGTGATATATGCTATTGAACAAAAGAAGACGACGAAGAAACAATGGAAGAACAAATGAACAAAAGACAAAATCTAACGAAATAATATGATGTAAACATGGATGTTCTAGGTGAAAACTAATGTATACGATTGAAACTACCAAGAAATTAATTCATTTCAGATGACAAAAGACAGATCAATGAACAGGTTTTTCTCTAAATATCGATATGATAGGATTGATGTGTTATTTGTGTAACTCAGTTCTTTTTTTTATCGGATCCTTTTGTTCGTAATGTCATTTCTTCTATTTAATTTGCTTTCTTTTTCGTCCACAGGTCAACAGAACGAGAAATTCCACTTCCCGAAGAAGAAACAGTACAATTCAACAAAGATGATGTTGTATTGGATTTTTGTACGTAGAAGATTTCGAATTGTCATCTAATATTCGTTGCTATTTACAGATACATCTGACTTAAATCTAACGGTTAACACGGATTGTTTATCGGCATCTAATAAATCAAATGATGCATTATGTTTCTTATGGGCGGGTGTTCGTGGCACATATGGATTTCGACAAGGCAGAATTGGTTATGAAATTCGAGTAAGTTTTGACAAATTGTTTGTCGTTTATGATGGATCATTGATCATTTTAGATAACTGAAATTATTGATTGTCCACAAATGCCGGAGAGTGAAAAAGAAAAGTTTGGTGTTCGTGTCGGATGGTCAAATCTTTCATCCAGTCTTCAGCTAGGTAAAAGAATTGCTACTCATCGTTCAGCAAAAGGAGATCTTATTTTACAGGAGAATTCAATGGTTCGTTCGCCTACACATCGTCCGGAAAGAAGTTGAATATGGCTAATGATGAAGTTGTCGAAGATACTTATGGAGAACCGTTTGGCGTGTCAGATGTTATTGCAAGTTATATTGATTTTGGAGATGATCCTGATAGCAGTTCCATACGGATATATTTCACGAAAAACGGCACAGATTTCGGTTCAGCGTTTGAATTTTCCAAAAATGATTCGAAAGAATTCTATCCACATATATTAGTAAAGAATGTTCGATTTGAATGCAATTTTGGACAATTGGTAAACGTTCGCACTTTGTTTCTCGATGTCATAGTGATTTCAATCGTTTATTTCTTAGGAAGCGCCATGGTCAGAATTCAAACCAAATTATACATTCGCACAAAATATACCTGTATCCGATAGGATACGTGCTTCGACACCAGTTGAAGAAAAAAGCCAATGCCAAGTTGTACTTCTGTCAGGTTTGAATGGATCGGGCAAAACAAGTTGGGCAAAGAAATATATGGAAGAAAATTCTGACAAGCACTTCAATTTGCTCAATGCTGAACATGTTCTCGGTCAAATGACGGTAGGTTTAAGTACATAAAAACTATCTGTCGACTGATGAAAGCGATTTTGTTTTCTCTTAGATTGATGGAAAGTTACCAGTGATTAAGGATCGAAATGATGGTTTAATGATACGTGTGAATATTGCTTTACAGAGACTCATTGAAGTAGCTGCGCGACGTCGACGAAATTTTATCATTGATCATGTAAATAGATGAAGTTTCTGTACGAATCAATGATTATGCTTTGTATTTAATTCGTTGTAGACGAACACAGCTCGTGAAAGTCAAGTCAAACGGCAAAGATTATTTACTGGGTACCATCGAATAGGTGTTGTGATCGTACCTGATGACGAAGAATTGAAGAAACGCATTGAAAAAGTGGAAAAAACCGAAAATATAACTTTCCCATCGTATTGGATCCGAGACGCAAAAGCGAAATTTTATTTTCCACAAACCAGTTCGTCATTAGAAGAAGTTATATACCCCGAATTATCTTATGATGATGCTAAATTATTGTACGATAAAGCACGACAGGATTACGAGCAATATCGTTCATCGTCACGCTATGATCGACGTGATGATTATTATTCGTCACGAAATAACAATAATAACAACAATCGGAACCGATATGATGACCGGGATCGTCGTAGTCGAGAACATGATCGAAATCGTGATCGGTATGCGCGATCACGATCACGATCTCGTGACCGCGACCGTCGAACATCGTCACGTGAAGATTCACGATTCTCGTCTTCCTCTTCATCATCGCATCGCAACGAGAATTATCGTGGTGGATACTCACGTGGTGGTGACGGACGATATTCTGATCACCGACAAGATTCAAGAAGTAATCAGCGTGGTGGTTTTCACGACAGTCGAGGTAGCGGTGGATATCGTGGACGAGGAGGCAATTACAATAATCAATCAAACGATGATCGTCGCGGTGGATATCAACAACAGCAACATCAACGAAACGATTTCGGTGGCGGCCGTGGACGTGGTGGTGGTGGTAATTTTGATAATAACCGAGGTTCGTATCATGACAGGCAACGTGGTGGATTTCGACAAGATTATGGCAATCAACCACGAGGACGATCATTTAATGATTACGACAACAATCAACAACGACAGCAAGGGAGTGGCGGCGGTGGTAGAAACTTCATGCAGAACAATAGCAATAATAATTTTAATCAACAACATGATAGACAAAGATTTGATTCGAGGGTATGTTGTTCGATAAACTCAGTGTTGATTAAGTGGATTTTTCTTTGAATATTTAGCCATCAATGCAACAACAAGGCTCATTTCATAATCAACAGCAACCACAGCGTTCCGGACCACTTCTACAAAATCCACCATCTAATCAACAGCAACAGCAGCAATCTTATTCATCACATTTAACTCAACAAACAGCGAATAATTCTAATCTTTCTTTACAAACACAAAATTCATTGAATCTAAATGCCCTTTCAAATGCTGCAAATATAACTCAACAAAATGCTCTTGATCCATGGCTCGCACTTTGTGCTGCCGCCCTCAACACACAATCAACTGTATCACAACAACAACAACAACAACAACAACAACAACAACAGCAGCAGCAGCAACAACAACAACATCAACATCAACAACCACAGCAGGATGCAAATTCGCTAACACAGCAGTGGGCACAGTGGTTAAAATCAACACAAATGGTTAGTAGTAAACATTCTACACGTGTACTCATATGGTTCTGTCATATATATATTTGATTTCTAGGCTCAAACAGCACAACAGTCTCAGCCTCAACTAACAGTTCAATCAAATGATTCTCAGCAGGCACAACTTTCAGATGCAAGTGCTTTGTACTATCAAGCATATTATGCTCAGTTGGCCGCTGCACAACAAGCAGCGGCCGCAGCAGCTGCTGCCGCCGCCGCCGGTCCGTTCAATGGTGGTGTTGCTCCGCCTGGCGCTAATGATAAATAGTCTGTCTTTGAAATTGAAAATAAATGTTTTGTTGTTGTTCTTTTTGTACTTGTGTAATTCTATATTATTTCTTTACCCAGCATTCTCATTGCTTACGTCTTTGTTCAAAGAATAAAAGAAATATCGTTGTTCGTATTTATATAGATTTATTGTCTGACTATTGTCTAGATGGAAAGAAAAGTTCACTAAAGTCATTTAATAAAAAAGCAGCAAAAAACGTGTTTTCTGTCTATTTTTCTTCACACCAGAAATTATTCGTGTTTTCATGAAGATGAAAGAATGGAAAACATAGGCAATTCAAACAGTATCCGTGGAATATTGAGCGAAAACTACCGTGCAAACGTTTCAACATGCATCTCAGCGCTTAGGCTATACATATACAGAAGATACTATCTGCCAGGTATGAACTAGTTTCTATGAGTGCACTGCAAGTGCGACATGTTCAAACGTGTTACTGTCACTGGAATCAAATCAGGCGATCAGTTTTTCTATACAAAGCTACTAATGGGGAAGAGATAAGATATAACATGTACCATTATCAGTATCTTTTACGAAACCTTGTCTCTTATCTATTCTCATTGCTATCGAGGATAGAAAATATATTTAGTGGTGTGGCAGATAGATACTATTATTTCATTTCGTGAGTTATTATTTTGTCGCGATTAACAATCCGTTGGGCCAGGTTAGACATGTCTATAGCAGTACATACTGTCATTGCATGTTTTACGATTATCTCTATATGTTGCGGTGCACCGTTAAAGCCATCGAATACTTGTGGTTACGATGTAAAATACCAATAAAACGACACGAAAAGCTACTCATAATACTGAAGTTGGCTTTCTTCTTTGTAGGTGTGTAATTTAGGCAAACCCGATAAATTAAATGTGCACATTGTTCCACATACGCATGATGACGTTGGATGGCTGAAAACAGTCGATCAATATTATTATGGTGGTAAGTCATTTTTATCGGATTTATGTATTATTGATCGCTGTTATGTTGCAGCTCGTAACGATATTCAACACGCTGCTGTTCAATATATCCTAGATTCAGTTATTCCGTCATTAGTAGAAAATTCTGATCGTCGTTTTATATATGTTGAGATCGCTTTTTTTTGGCGTTGGTGGCTGCAGCAAACCGAAGAAATGCGAAATACGGTGAGACAGCTGGTTAATGAAGGTATTCAAACACTTTTTTAAAAGAAAGAACAAGTTTGTATATCATTTGTTGAAAAAAGGTCGTTTGGAATTCATTTCTGGTGGATGGTCAATGAATGATGAGGGTGTCACTCATTACAATTCTATTATTGATCAGCATAGTCTAGGTGCCGAATTTTTACGTGATCAGTTTGGACAATGTGGTCGGCCAAAACTTGGTTGGCAGATAGATCCGTTTGGGCATTCTAAGCAAGTAGCATCACTTTTCGCACATGTAAGTTGAAAAATAAAGAGACGTATCAAATTAATCTTCAATAATTCATAGATGGGTTTTGATGGACTCTTTTTTGGACGAGTCGACGTTCAAGACTATACCGAACGATTCAAAGCAAAAACAATGGAAATGATCTGGAAAGGAAGTGCTAATCTGGGTGAAGACAGTTGGCTTTTCAGTGGAATACTGCCAAGGGTTTACGAAGCACCACCTTCGTTTTGTTTCGATGTTCATTGCCAAAATGAACCTATCAAAGTTAGCTAATAGTTTACTTGCTTTTCGCTGACTAGTATAGTATATAATATTCTTCCTTTGAGGACGATCCACAATTACATGATTACAATGTGCCTGAAAGAGTTCAAGCATTTATTGATGCTGCACATAGTCAAGTTCGAATTCGTCTCAGCATTTGTAAATAAAATGTTGTAGTCGTACTTTAGGCAACTGGTTATGCAACAAATCACATCATCAATACGATGGGTAGTGATTTTCAGTATGAAAATGCTGATGAATGGTATAAGAATTTGGATAAATTGATAAAATATGTCAATGCTCAAGTAATAAATAGTTGTCACCATGTACAATAAAAATGATATGGAATGTATTTAGCAAGGAAATGGAAGCGATGTGAATATATTCTATTCAACTCCATCGTGTTATTTATATGCATTGAATAAAGCAAACCGAACTTGGACAACAAAATCAGATGATTTTTTTCCGATTTCATTTAATCATCATGGTCTTTGGAATGGTTATTTTACGTCTAGGCCAGCATTGAAACGATACGAACGTTATTCAAATAATATTTTACAAGTAACAAAACAATTGAATGCTTTGTCGAATGTAACACTCCGGCATGCTTTCTTCCCACTAAGTATAACTGCTCGATACCTATAGAAAGTTTTTCTGAATGTACTTTGATTTTTAGGCGAGGCTATGGGCATTGCTCAACATCATGATGCTGTTAGCGGTACGGAAAAACAACATGTGGCTGATGATTATGCTCAACGATTAGCACAGGGCATTGATTCTGCTACAGTAGACCTATAGATCCGAATCACTTTCTCTACACGATCTATTATTTCATTTAGTATGTTATTAATGAAGCTTATAGAAAGCTTTTACCAAAATACAATCACTCTTTAACAATTCCAGCTCAATTTCTCTGCCAATTTTCAAACATTAGTGAATGCTTGCCAATCGAAAGACAAGCTAGTGTAAGTTTATAGACAATAGTCAATTGATAATTGCTAGTATATTCGTATTATGTAGTTTACTTTAACTCTTTGGAATCCGACGATTCATCCGGTTCAACACATCGTCCGTGTGCCAGTAACGCAAAAATATCTGATTCGAAGTCCAACAGGTTCCACAGTTGCAGCTGATGTAATCTTTTGCTTAGGCTATTTTCAATTCTGACTCTTTCTTCATCAACTAGTTCATGTCAATATCTGACCAAGTGAAAAAGATTCCCGGTCGTACGAGTTCTGCTCAATATGAATTAGTTTTTCAAGCGCCACTACCGGCCCTAGGATTTAGTACCTACTATTTTGAAAGCAAAAGTTCATTAGCTGATAACAAGAGAACAGAAAAGTCGAAACTCGATCAGGCACATAATGAAGCGTGTGTACTTCAAAATCAAGTATGTAGATCAGAGTTACAATGCTTTTTTTCAACCTCTATTGTAGTATCTTCGTGTGGAATTTGATCAACAAGGAAATTTGAAAAATATAACGAATCAAGAGAGAAACTTTACTGTTCAATTCTCTTCACAAGGATTCTATTGGTATACAAGTACATATCTTGACTGTGCATAAGAGAGTATTTGTTCTTATGATCTATTTCTCAATTGAGGTTTTCCCGGCAATAACTCTCGACCGGAATTTCAAGCATCAGGCGCTTATGCTTTCCGACCATTAACGCCAAATCCATTACCAGTTAGTAGCTCACGTAATATGTACGTACGAAAACGAATTACTTTTTCTGAGATAAACATATTTATTGATTAGAACATGCACATACATGGATCAGGTTCAAACAGCATTAATTGTTTATAATCAATGGTGTAGTCAAGAAGTTCGACTCTATGATCAAGCAAATACAGTTGAAATCGAATGGATCGTTGGTCCAATCCCGATTGAAGATGGTCTCGGGAAAGAAATCATTATACGTTATGATACAGATATTCGAAGCAATCAATACTTTTATACTGATGCCAATGGACGAGAAGTTCTTGAACGTAAACGAGATTATCGACCATCATGGAACTATACAGTATATGAAAGTGTGGGTGGTAATTATTATCCCGTTGCGAGTCGTATATGGATTAAAGATAATCAAACACAAATGACAGTATTAACAGGTACGGAAAGTGAAACTTTTGTTTCATTTAATTCAAGTCAACTTTTGTCAAACTTATTTTAGATCGATCAGAAGGTGGTTCAAGTATGCATGATGGTTCTATTGAATTGATGGTTCATCGTCGTACACTCCATGATGATTCACAAGGCGTTGGTGAACCAATGAATGAAACTGCTTACGGTACAGGCCTTGTTGTACGTGGTCGACATGTTTTGATTCTGGAAACACCGCAATTAAGTGCCTCTCATCATCGTCCAACTGCGCAACAACTCTTCATGAGTCCACTATATACATATGCTTTACCAGGAATATCCTATACTGATTATTCGAATAATTATCGTCAAACATGGTCAAGTTTAAATGAATCGTTACCATATAATGTTCACTTATTAACATTCGATCAGTTGGCAGCAAATGTATTTTTGATACGTGTTGAACATTATTTTGAATTGAACGAAGATGCGACGTATTCAAAATCAGCACAAATTGATCTAGATAGCTTATTCAATACATTAGGTAAAATCAAAGATTTAGTTGAATTAACCCTTGCAGGCAATATGCCTTTGAGTGAAATGAAACGATTGGTATGGCAGACTAATGATCATCAATCATCGAATTTGAAATTGACAAGTACGAGACTAAGAAAATCGCTTTCACCCAAGAAATTCTATCCGTTTTCAATATTTTCAGAGTCAAACACATTGAAAAGTACAATTGTTTCACTAAATCCAATGGAAATTAAAACTTTCCAAATAACAATCGAATAAACTTCATCGACAAATACTCTTCGACTTTTTTCCTAATTATAATACATGGCTAATATGAATTGTGAATTGAGAATACAATAAGCTCATTTTCAAGAAACCTCCATATTGTTTCTACATATAGACTGGCATATGTTGAACTATTTAGATATTTATCGCTATTTCTGCACGCGGAGTGCAAGTCATGCCTTCTTTGATGAGATGTTCTTTATTCCCTTTTCACTAATGACTGACACTAACAGCAGACAGACCACATAGTCTTTATCAGTAGTGAACGATTCAGCCGACCGGACCAATTTGACCGCCCGCTCCCTCGTTTCTTTCCTTCGTCTTACTTTAACGCTGGCCATAGATACTCTGCGTCGTCCTCCCTCCATTTTTCTTAGCTCTATGTCTATTTCTTTCTCGGCTCATCGTGACTAGACTATGATGAGAGGGCATAAC